ATTAATTACCTGTGAGAAGAGACCAGCACCAACCTCTCTACAGTGTCCTTTCAAATAGTTGTAGAGAGTGATGAGGTCTCCCCTCAGCCTCCTCCTCCTCAAACTAAACAGTCACAGCTCCTTCAACTGCTCTTCATAAGATTTGTTTGCTAGGCCCTTCACCAGCTTCGTTGCCCTCCTCTGCACTCGCTCCAGCACCGTGATATCTCTCTTGTATTGAGGTGCCCAAAACTGGACACAATACTCGAGGTGTGGCCTCACCATTGCTGAGAACAGGGGCACAATAACCTCCCTACTTCTGCTGGCCACGCTATTTCTAATACAATCCAGGATGCCATTGGCTTTCTTGGCCACCTGGGCACACTGCCGGCTCATATTCAGCTGCTCATCAATTAGAACCCCCAGGTCTCTTTCTGCCAGGCAGCTTTCCAGCCACACTTCCCCAAGCCTGTAGCGCTGCATGGGGTTATTGTGGCCCAAGTGCAGGACCTGGCACTTGCCCTTGTTGAAACTCATACCATTGACGTTGGCCCAATGATCCAATCTATCTAAGTCTCTCTGTAGAGCTTCCCTATCCTCCTGGGAATCAACACTCCTGTTATGATACACAAATCACACACAGCAATACATGGAAGTCCCCCCGGTTCCCAGTGGCAGGATTTAGGGACCACAGCAGCTCGCCGGGCTGGCCAGGCCTCATTGTCATGTGGCCTCCTGTTATCTGAGCCACGGCATCCCCAAGGGTGGCCCCTGACCACCCCCACCAGCAAGCCCTGGGGAGGCCGATGCCACCGGTGGGTTCAGGTTCTCTGCCTGATCCCTCTGCAGGTGGAGAGGCATCAGGACACCTTCCCCACCACTTGCTACTCTCACTGCCGACCCTTGGTGCTCAGCCTCGCGCTGAAATTGTGCTCGGCAGAGTCTGAATGGAGATATTCTGAGTTATAAATGAGCAGACGAAATGCAGAGCCCTTCCTTTCAAATCTGCACGAACCCCAACAGCTTTAAGCCAACTGTAACTCCATCGCCTCCAATAGATTTTAGGCAGACTGCTGGGACGAAGACCCACGTTGTTGACTGAACAGCCCCCATTGCAATCCAGATTCAGATCCTGCTGGAAGAATATAGACTTTGGCCCAGCTGAAGAGTCACATTAAGATGCAACAAGAAAAACCATGGGTGAAACTCTCCCCCAGAGCTGCGTGCAGCCCGAGGAATGGCACAGGGACCTTTTCTGCAGAGCTCTTTTCCAGGACACGCTCGCAAAGACCAGCCAGCCCCAGGTAATCTTCATCCAGCTTGAAAAGAACCCGTGCAGGCCGGGGTTCAGTGAGGTCTTCAGGCCCAGAATGTCCGTCTGTCCATCCAACAGCACATCGACTCTTGTCACAGCAGGAAAAACAGAGCCGGAAAAACAACTGTGTGTTCTTGGGGCCTTTGACCTGCCACGGCTCTAACGAGGTGTCACAGACATGTTACGTACAAGCTAAGGCACATATGTAGACCATGACTGAAGTGCTGCGAGCACCTTTTATTTATGTGATCCTGCATGTAGGGGCTTTCCTGACAGGCCGGAGGAGAGCACCCCGAGGTGCCTGGTGTAGACGTTGACCTCCCTTTTAGGACAGCAAGTTACACAGCTCCGCGGTAGGACAGGCCACAGCCGGTGCAGGGTTCTACTTCAGCCATAGTGCCCCGTGTTGTTGAAAATGTCACAGTTCGGCGCACAGTTGAATTGATTCTTTTACTAGGTCAGGCCTGGTAACAGGCGTTGATTTAAGCAGCTTATTGCGACAGCTGACTAAACGCCGCTCCTAAAGCGCCGCTCTCCGGGATCAGACAGAGGATGGGTTCTGCTCCCGGTGGCACGTCCCCAGGGACGCAGCCCCGCTGGGAGCGTGGCAGAGAGGGAAGATCGGCCTCTGCTGTTTGGTAGCATTTTCAGGGAACACCAAATGTTGTTTACTTCCTAATCTTCCTACAGAATATAAAGAATTGCTGCTCGGGGCTATTTCAGACAGATAATGCGAGTGACTCACTTGAGTTGTATATTGACCTCAGGCACTGTAAAGATATATTTTACAGTGCTTTTAAAAACAATTAATGCAGATTTCTGTACTTCTGAAGATGCCTAGAGTGCACTTAGAGATTTTCATGAGGCGTTAAACCACGCACATCTGGCCAAGCCCCATGTTACTTGTTATTTTTAGTCAACACATCCCTAACCATCGGGCACCCCATCCTCCAGGCTGGATTCTCTGTGCTACAGCAGCTTCTCAGTTCATACTTGCAGTCTTAATTTGCCTATGTATAACAGCGCTTTAAGAACCGTATTAATTATAACCAGTGACAGATGTGTACTAAACCCTATGTTCAGATGTGGAAGCAGATCCCATGATCAGCTCTTATCTCTAAACCCTGAGCTGAAACCAGATCTAAATTCCCACCAAGTCTTGAAGTGCTTAGTTATGGACCTGGATTCAGCAGGTCTGGTTTCGGCGTGTGTATAATTTTAATAACTACCCACCACTATATTTGCATTCTTTTTGTGTTTTGCCAGTCTAAATACCAGAGGCTTTGAAGCAGAGATTTTGCTCGGCAGGGAAAGCGGTTGCGCCACGTTGCATACGTTTGTTACCTACTCAGTGAGATGCCTGATCATGGCTTCTGCTTTCCAGAAGTGACTTTTAAAGACAAACTGCCTCTGGCTCTGCTCTTCCCCACAAATCATCTGTCTTCATCCTTTTCGTTTCCACAATTCCCATTATACCCACCTCACACCCAAAGGCCCCGTATTCCCTCCCTCTCTTTGCCTTACAGTTGTCTTTCAGGTTCACCAGGTCCCAGCAGATCAAAATCGAACAATCTCTCTCTCCTACATGTCCCACTTTCAGGGCCCAACAGCACTTCCCCATCCCTGCAATAAGTGAACCTGGGCCCATCCCTGGAAACATTCCAGGTCAGGTTGGACAGGGCTCTGAGCAACCTGAATGAGTTGAAGATGTCAATATGCTGGGGGGCCTTTCTGAAGTACCTCTACATTAATGCACACAGTATGGGGAATAAACATGAGGAGTTAGATCCGTGTGGAGCTGCAGTGCTACAGTCTCATTGGGATCACGGAAACATGGTGGGATGGTTCCCACCAGAAAGAACGAGGGGATGAGGCCCTCTACAGACAGATAGGAGCGTCCTCACATTCCTGGTCCTGGTCATCAAGGAGGACTTCAATCACCTCATTATCTACTGGAGGGACACCACCATATAAGCAATCCAGAAGGTTCCTGGAGTGCATTGATGACAACTTCCTCACCCAAGTGACACAGGAGCCAATGAGGAAAGGTGCTCTGCTGGACCTCATGCTCACCAACGAGGGGCTTGTTGGGGATGTGAAGGTCAAAGGCAGCCATGGCTGCAGTGACCATGAAATGGTGGAGTTCAGGATCCTGAGGGGAAGGAGAAGGGTAAAAGGCAAGCTCACAACCCTAGATTTCACAAGAGCAGACTTCGGCATCTTCAAAGATCTGCTCAGAAGAATCCCATGGGATAAGGGCCCATTAGAAAGAAGAACCCAAGAAAGCTGTTTAATATTCAATGACAACCTCCTCCAAGCTCAAGAGCAGTCCACTCCAATGAGCTGAAAATCAGGCAAAAAGCCAGGAGATCTGTGTGGATCAAGGAGCTCCTGCCCAAACTCAAACACAGAAAGGAAGCCTACAGAGGGTGGAAGCAAAGATGGGTATCCTGGGAGGAATACAGAGGCATTGTCCAATCATCCACCGATGAAGTCAGGAAAGCTAAAGCCCAGCAGGATTTGACTCTGGCAAGGGATGTCAAAGACAACAAGAAGGGCTTCTGTAAGTACAGAGTTCTGTAAGTTCTGTAAGTAAGTGAGTGACAAAAGGAAGGCTGGGGAAAATGTGGCCCTACTGCTGAGTAAGACAGGGGACCTGGTTACACAGGACGTGGAAAAGGCTGAAGTACTGAACACCTTCAGGAATCTGTCAGAACATCAGGAAACACTTTACTTTGAGGTTGACCAGGAACTGGCAGAGGGTGCCCAGAGAGGTTGCGGAGTCTTTGTCCTTGGAGACATTCAAAAGCGACTGAGACATGTTCCTGGGCAACTGGCTCTAGGTGACTCTGCTTGAGCAGGGGGATTGGACCAGTTGACCTCCAGAGGTCCCTTCCAATGTCAACCATTCTGTGATTCTGCAATGACCATTAGCTGGTTAGTAAATTACAAGGGAGAGGAAAAAAGAAGGGATGGAAACATATAATCATTTCTGTATCACTTTGTTCTTTCTTCCCCATAGCCAGGCAAAAGCTGGAGAAAGAAAATGCTATTTCCCTCTCTTACCACTACAAAAATTTGAGAAAAAGCCCTCCCTTATCAACGCCTGCAGATCTGTGCAATCTCAATTCAGCATGACAAAAATCAATGCCTGAAACACTGAGAAATTATCATCTACCGGATCTCTTAATAATCGTCACATCAAGACAGAAATGTTTTCCAGAAAGTCAAAAACTCTGCTAAGTCGGATGCAAGTCACTCACCTCAAGCAAATACAAGCAAACCTACTTACAATTAAATAGCTTATGATGAATCTTAGATTTTCTTTTGGATACTCTAGTCCATTTTAAACTCAGACACTATTAATTTGTGAATCCGAGAAGGAAGGAAAGCCAAATCAGTTTCTCTCCATTGAAAACACAGAGGGGCATCTTTTAAGCAAAGTAGCACGTGCTTTACTGTCGTTCGGTTGGTTAGTTTGTTTGGGGTTGAGTTGTTTTTTTTAAAGCATAACGGTACTTTGATGGCACATCTGCAAACATTTCCATTGTTTCTTTGGTAAATGCACTGAGGAAAGATTGACCCTCCACAACTGAAATGTACTCAGGCAGCTCTTTACAGGGGTGCCTTTCCACTTCCATGCAATCAGGGAGGAAAAATGTTGATTGTGAGAGCAGTAATAAAGGCTAGGAATTTAATAGCATTCTAATGCACAACTTAAATGTGTGTTTGTTATTCTTCTAATCAGTGCATTACAGGAATCAATACAGAAAATAGAACCGTGACTGCACAGATTTAAGTATTAATTACAAGAGGTGGTAAATCACGGTGCTCTCAAGATTTTATGTAAAATCCACTGAATTAATTGAGTCTTTTTAAATTCAAACGGGCTTTGGCTGAGTCCCTTAATGATATTAAAATCCATCTGTTATTAAACATCATGTTTAATACAATAGTATGCAAATACTGTGATTTGTAAATATTTTTATCCAAAAGTTCAGATCCAATCATGCTCCTCTTGAAGTCTGCAACACAATTTCTGTAGACATCAATAAGAATACATCTGGGATATCCACTTTTAATTGCACTGTATACAAGTATTGACAAAAGAATACAATACAGTAGTCACAAAATTAAAGAGGCTTCTATGAAACCTACAAAGAAGAGCAGCACAGAATCAATGAAGTAAAAGCAATATTTCAAAAAATTAAAAATTGGACTTGGCAGTTTTGGAAAACAGTACTGAAGAAAAAGACAAATGAATTGGCACAGTTTAACAACCTAATTTCTAAGTGCACTTTATAATAACTCTCCTTACAAGCTGCTGTTTTCCCAGAAGATGATGACAAAAAGCCTCATTAGAACATCCCTGTTTTATAGTGACAGGTTTTATTGCATTGCCAGCTGTGAATTTAAAAAAAAAGAGACACCCCCCCAAAAAAAAACTTCTATAAAGGTTCCTAAAAACCCTGTTTTCTTTTGTTATCGTCAAAAAATAGCAACATGGCACTTCCATATGTTTGTGAATAACCACAACTCTATTTTTAAAAAAAATAGAAGTTAAAGAAAAGTGATTTTTGTCTTAGCTTCAAAAATAATGTAAAGAAACATTTAAGAACAAGATATTTCAATGATCAGAGAGATATATACAGTGTGGTAGATTTGAGTCCAGTCCTGCAAATGCATGTTCATGAATGCAGACTTGAGAACCTGTTGATTCTGAGTAAGTGTAATTAAGGACTGGCAGGATCAGGCTCTTAGCTTCACCTATTATAAGCTTTTCCACAATCTGTGCTAGGCTAAAAAGTATAGATACAGTATATACTCTGTATACTGATTTATACAAAAGGTCTTTTACAGCTCTAACCCTGTTATTGCTAGGCTAAAAATTAACATTTGGAACAAATTACGTGAATCATAAAGGATAAAATTGAGATGCAGCTTCTGATGACTGAATTTCCACTTGAGCCATTTTAAACTGGGTACACTGTAGCCATTTGCGGAGCACAGATGAGCTATTGTTCATTTGTCCCGACCCCTGCAACATCCTTAGACTGTGATGGTTGACATTGCTCTGGATGGCTTGGAGGCGTAGCTGGAGTCCGGCAGATAAATGCTGTGGAAATAATGCAAAACATTTACTTTCTTTCCTTCAATACATACATTAATACAGCACTGTGAAAGGTACTGCTTGCTGGCCAGGGAAAGCTCCACCACTGCCCGAACATCACATTTCTTTCCTCTGCATCCTGCACTATAGTGCTGCCATGAAAGGCAAATGTGCTTACAGAAACAACTCCCTACTGAGACCAGCTCCAACGCTTTTATTCTCATCACCAAAATTCTCTCGACTGGCAAACCACACTGATCCACCTTGCTCTCTCCTACAAAGTGGGCCAGCTGGCACAGTTCTACCCAAACAAGCAGGCTCACAGTATCTGCTATAAAATCCAAACCCATCTCTTGAGTCAAGAATCCCAATCCTGATTTGCCAGGGGACTCTCAAGCCCAAGACATCAAGAAAACCACAGCTCGGGGAACAACCAATCTCAGTAAACAGGGAGGAAAGGCCCTACCCCAGGACCTGGTTCGAGGAAAGTGTTTCAGAAGGGACAGGGAGAGCAGTACTGATTACAGTATGAGTATTTTAGGTGACGATGCTCTGTGCATGCTCACACCTGAAACCTTCAGTGCTGGGCCATCCAGCGCATCTGGATACGCTACAATGATCTATATTCAGAGAGACTGGAGACCACATCTAGTGATCTTCTTTCCAGAATTTACAGAAATGTATAACACTAAGAATAAAAGCATAAGGTACTAGAAACAACTTACCTTGAGATTTGACTGTATCATTGGCAACCACATTGGTATGAGCTGTAAGAAGAGAGGTATATTTTGTTATTATACAAGTGACTGTCAGCATGCTGCAGTTACTGTGAGACAGAGAAGGATGTATCTAACACATTTAGCTGTCCGAATGGACATAGCCCGAACCACAACTCTGAAAATGTGATTATTTTTAAACGATGCATATGTTTTGGGGCAGGTAACTCTCAGAGGTAAAGAAGCCAGCTTCCCTTGTTTGTAGCTCGATGAATCACCAGGAGCAATTACTGATATCCTGTTTAAGGCAATGATGAGAGTACAGAGTAAAAATTTGTTAAAGGAAATCAACTCTTATTTTCCTTGTGAGGGTGTTCCTGTATGTGGAGGTGAGCAACACTGGAACAAATACAGTAAACATTCTGCATGGTGAGGTATACATCAAGAACTGAAAAAACACACAGCAGAAGTTCCTAATAATAGGCCAGATATTTAAACAGTAACCAGCATTTTACAAGCCTCTAGTCTCATCAGCACTTCACTGCAGAATGTGACCTGTAGGCATGGGAGCAGAGGTAAAACCTCTAACTCTGTAGAAGGACAAGGCAAGGAGGGCTGTGAATCTGTCACCCATGATTGGATTGATACGTGTTTCAGTCTCCTGCTCTTCAGAGAACTTTCATTTCTGAGCAAGTATAACATGACAAGCTTATGGAAGACAGAGAGGCATTTCTAGCAAAAGTATTCATGTTCTTCAGTATTAATTTAACCACTGAGGTTACTGTTCTAAAATGTTCCTCCAAATGGCATTAAAATTTGCAATTTGCCAATTATGCTACCGGGAGCTGCAAGTTAAACCTAATCACTATTGACAACATTAGATAAAATGCTGTTTGCCTTGTGCAAGGAATGATAATTGTTTCAATTTCAGTGCTGTTTTGCTGGAGAATCATATGCAGCTCTGTCAGGACTGATTATTTAGTCTACCACATGAAGAACCATATTCAAACCTCAGCATTTACAGATAGGTGCATGTCAAAACAGCTGGAATGCAGCCAGATGCAGCAGATGTGCGAGTTCTATACATCCTTCTGTGGGCTCTCACGCTAATGAAGGGCTTAATAAGATCCAGTGACCATAGGTCCTGACGTATTTTTGGGAGAGGAGGGAACAGGTAAGCATACTGAGAAGCCATGCTCCATGTCCCACTGCCATCAACAAAATGTCACTGAAGATTTCATCCAGCATTAGTGAAGTTCCTATGGAGCTAGCCAGCGGTGACAGGACTGGTGTCAGAAGTATGTCAAGCAAGGAGGGAAGCCAGGCAGAAAACTCAGGGTACCCCTCTGCATCTGAACCAATTCACTGGACATCTTTTCCAGTCAGCTGAGAGAATCAAGCTCTTCTCACATCCAGTTCATCTTGTCCCAAGGCAGGTGTCTAAAATAGATCAAGATGAATCATGTCCAAAAATACCTGTTTATCTCCACTGACTCTAAAGGGCACTCACGGAAACTAGCTCATATTGATATCTTTGCTGTAGAGGTCTACGGTTAGATACAGATCATTGTCCTCCAGCGCCACTTCTGTCTTCCAGGGTCTGGACACATTTAGGGAAACGAAACATTCTGCTGCAGGCACAAGCAAGCAAACCTTCCACTCCTACAGCTGCCAGTTAGATAAACGAGGCAAGAAAACATTTTTATTGAAGTACTTGAGTTTTATTACCTAATCCTCAGCCAGCCTTTTCTTCACAAAGGAAGAACACATAGAGCTAGTTAGAAAGAACAGCTGGAAGAACAGACTGCTGTCAGACACTGTCAATTTTTTTTGAGTTTATAGTTTCAACAGTATTATGTTGGTTCAAGTTTTGATAGACACCAGGCTGGAGAACAGGTTGGTCTCCTCTTTGGAGACCAACTCTGGTTGGCTCCAACAACTCTGCTGTTGGCTCCCCAACTCTGCTGCCTGCCTGGTTCTCTAGAAGTCTACCCAGCACCTGCTGGAGCTGCCTAAAACCTCTGGGTCTCTGGAAGAGACATTGTGGTTTGCTAAGCTGCTCCCTTTTCTACTGTAGTGTCCCAAATTCCTCAGACATACATCTGATAGTCAGTGAGCTGTGATCAGCAAGGAGCTGGTGCCCATCACCAATGGCTGTCCTGGGATAGCTAGTTTCCCAGTTCCTGTGACGAAGAAAAACAGGAGGAAAGCTGAACACTTTCATTTCAGCCCTCCTAAAACAGAATGCTTCTCCTTAGAGGAAAATATAATTAATTAAATATATATGTGTGGGTATGTGTGCATCTGTGTAAAGGTGTCTATAGATACATCTATATCTATCTCACTCCAACTTAGAAAGAAGAATAAATACAAAACGGTTGAAATGTTTTCACAGGAAAGAAACTTCGTTTTCCTCATCAGATTGATAACGATAGTCTAACATCAGATCCAAAAAATATCCTCTGAGAATACAGGGAACGGTTCAAAGACTATAGGAAGCAATCAAGACATGTTTCAATGCTATCATGTGCGTTTAACTTAATAGCAAAGGCCAACACAGTACCAGGAGGAGGAAACCTCACAGCACCAATGCAAGGAGGGTAAGGAGTGCTTATCTCAGGCATAAAGACACCTCTTCTTTCAGTGAAGGACAGCTGAATTGTTTACATCTTCTTTTTCTCTCCTGTTTTAGGACATATTTTCCCCTCACTTGTCATACAGAAAACGGCCACCTAAGATAGCGATCCCATAAACCGCCTGTCACCATGTGACACACACCACCATCTCCTTGTGGTGCATTGAAAGTACGTGTGTGTTGAATCATGCAATGACTTCATTAAGTCATTTTTTGCAGCACCGGATTCCTCAGGTGGAATAAAAGACACTGCAGTAAGTACAATTATATGAATGATAAAGGTTCAGGAGTTATCAGTGCTTCTGTGCTCAGTTCCAAGTGGAACTCACTGGGAATTATTAATTTTGTTGAATGAATTTCCGAAAGAGT